TCTGGCTGGGGTCATGCAGCAGGTAGACATGCTTGTCTCTTTTATTTAGCTGCTTAATAAATTAACCATGTGCTGACATAATGTTGTTCATCCCTACTATCACTGTGTTGAAATGTTACTCTGGCTTTTGGAAAGATGGCCAGGTGCACAGCAATTAAGAATTTAATCCACGATGAAAAAGACTCAATGTCGGTCCGGTAGAAACATAGATGATGGTAGTAGATGATGGTTGTGTTCAAAATGTGGTTTAATTGCTGATTATTACAGCATTATATCATCATGTACACACAGAACTAAATCTTATATTGCACATACAGTACTAAACGGCACAGGCATATGTTATCATGTGTGTATAGCCATGTGCTAGGCAACATGTGAAATGCTGCGCTTGCTCATTGTGAATGTAAATCTGATGTCAAGCTGAAAGCTGAAGAGGGAATGTGTGGGTGGCAATAGCTTCCAGCTTAGACCCTCTGAGAGAACTGAGAGAGAGACAGAGTTAAAAGAGTGGGAGGGAGGGATGTAGACACACATGAGTAAGAGGTTGGTTAAAAAAACTGAAAAGGAACACTGTGTGTGTGTGTGTGTGTGTGTGGGGGGGGGGGGGGGGGGGGGTGGATAAGTGTTTGTGTAGGAGTAGGAGGGACAGCGCAACAGCAACACTATATGGAGTGAAGACAGGATGACAAAGAGAGACGGATAGAGGAAAAAATGAAAATGAAAAGGAAGAGAGTGAAAAGGAGGAAATGCATCTGGGGGAGCAGTAACAAGAGAGGGAGTTTGATGGTGGCATTGCACAGAGGAAGGGGTAGTTGGATGGCGAGAAGGAGGGCGCATAAGAGCCAGAGATGGAGGCTGGAGAGGGAGTGGGTGTCTTAATAGCGCTGAAACGCTCAGGGCTTTTTGTATGTTTGCCTTTGTTATGATAGAACGCTGGTTGGCTGCCTGTTTGCTTTTGATCCATGAACTGTGACTACGAAAGCAAGGCTGTCTCTTCTGTGTTTAAAGTGCAATGCAGCGGCTACATCAAGGACTCTCATTACATAATTTAATGTATAAATGTCGTCATCTACTGTAGAGCCCAGCACGTAAAGCCAGGCGCTAGCGCTGCAAGGGGTTTGGGGTTTTGTTCTCTACAGTCGCTAAATGCACAGAACATTTTCCTGTGATAACATTTTTTGGAAAACATTTATCTAGAGAAGTCTTGGTCACTCCCTGAGCTGATAATAGCACTGCAGCGGCTGTTCAAACCTATCTAAAATAGCTAAATGTGTGTGGTACAAGTTAACTGTGTCTGGATCCATTTGCTGAGTGGCCATATTACTTCAAGTGAAGGGCTTTTGGTGGTGTTGCATATAAATACAGCTGCAACTAACATTTATTTTCATTATGGATTTGTCTGTCACTCAACTTTACAATTTATTAAATAATTTAGTTTCTGAAATATTTTTGAGAAATGCCCATCACCATATCTCAGAGCCCAAAGTGACATCTTCAGATTGCTTGTTTAGTCTTACCAAAACTCAAAAACCAAATTATATTCAATTTATAATTATATAAAACAGAGAAAAACCTAACCTGCTAATCCTGACATTTGAGGAGCTGGAAACAGTAAATATGTGGCATTTTTGCTTGATAAATGACAGGTGCACTCCACCAAAGTTCAATTTACTCATCAGCATGAAGAGTACTACTCAGTTGTATAATGGCTTCTGTGGCACCAGAGGATCTTTCTGAAGTTATAAAAAATTATCTCAATTTCGGCTTGAGAGAAACCTGTTTTATAAAGTGGAGGTGTGGAGTTTGTAGTATGTGGGTGTTCATCAGGCAGGGAAGGGTCTAATGAAAGACAATATCAAGTTGAATTGTGGGAAATGTAGGATCCTGTTTTTTGGGCATGACTCATAGAGCCAAAGTTAAACTAGAACTTATGGTTCTGTTCCATAGGTAATAAAACCTGATTCAAAATCACACACTAAAAACTAAAACTCCAGCCTTGGAATAGCCTTTCTCAACAGTATGCCATGTACTCTGTATGTCTGGTTCAGGACTATAATAAAAAAAACAATCTAATAACGTAGTTTGTTAAACATTTTTATCAGCCTTAACTTAACACAATTTCCCATAAGCCCTAGACCATCGCAGGATAAACATCACGGTCGACGGAAGAAGGCTGAGTTGAGGGTCCACAGACATACAAGATGTACAGGACAGAACGGTGCAGACGTTTACATTTCTTTACAGAAAGTTTACAGCTAAAAGTTGAAAAAATTCCATTCCATTACAGATTTTTGGTGAATTCTATGGATATGGATGAAACCAAGTTATTATGACGTTAAGTACCTACACTGTTGAGCTTGAACTTTTTCACAGAGCTGTATTTTTTTGGATGCTCTCAAATAATTCCAGATTCAATACTTCATTGCCATGCAACATAGTCAATCAGGATTTGGTAATTGGTAATTGTTGTTTAACTTTGTTAAAATCATGTAGATTTTAACTTCTAAAGCAAGTGCTGTGGATGTTAATGTGTCTTACAATATAGCCTGGATGTGATGCCATGGCTTCGACTCTCTATACTAGGACTAAAAGTCAGGATATGTCTGCCTCTGCTGCTTCAAGTTATACCCACCCCACCAGAGCAGGTCAGCCACTAATCAGAAGATTGGTGGTCCAATCCCTGGCTCCTCCAGTTTGCATGTCAAAGTGTCTGTGGGAAAGATACTGAACCCCAAATTTTCCCCAGTGGTGTGTGAGCGTGATGCCTACCTGGCGCCTTACCCTCTACCATCAGTGTAAGAATATGTGTGAATAGGTGAATGTGACATGTAGTGCAAAATGCTTTGAGTGGTCAAAAGACTAGAAAAGCGCTATACAAATACAGAACATTTACTAAATAGCTGGCTCCTTTAAATGAATAATCAAGTGTTGCTGATAATTAACTTTCTGTTGATCAAAAAATAAATATATAAATAAATATATATGTATCATGCAAACCCTGACTGGAAAAACCATGTAAGATTGGTCTAAAATAGAAATGAACTCATCGTTACATAAATAAGTCAAACATCTAGTGTGTACATTACACAACAGCTGAACGTACAAAACATACTATAGCAATACTCAAATGTGCACTTAAATGATGGGGCTTCCAGTTACTGTAACTGAAAACTTAAAAAATACACACAGAGTGAAAAAGAAGCACCAGCCAACAATCCAATCACAACACATTTTGACTGCCGATCACAAGTTTCTCTACTCTACATGAACAGCAGGAGCCAAGTTGGCATTTAACCAAAATTCTGGACAATCCTTTGTATTCTCAAAGCTGATTTACCAGGCAAAATGGTTTTTGAATTTCAGAATCCACCAGCAGTTATTTTTTCTGCCTTTGCTGTCGAAGTGTCTGCTGGAGTTGAGTTTTTTGATTGAGATTTTCGCTGACAGTCACTGTTGATGATGACAATGATGACGATGGTGATCAGATGTTTGATGGTAATGAATAGGACGATGATTTGTATTGAGGGTTATGGTAATGTTGTCCATAGTGTTGGTGCCAATATATATACACAAACATATCCAAAAACAGTCACATTGACGTGTACGCTATTTATTATTGTTATTATGATGCCCTTATCTCTACTGCCTCGTGCATGTCTTTTCATTGTGTCTTACCTGTTGTCTGTGCAATATGTATGGGGACACTCAATTTCTATCCTGTGGGATTAATAAAGTATTTTGCCTTGTTTCATATCATATTCGTGTGATGCTAAAGCTATCATAGGTAGATTTGTGACATTTTTGAAAAGTTGACATTTTGTTTGATTTTGTTATGTCCACCGTGACCTATACCTCCATGGACTGTACACAGCCAAATAAAATAGACCTATTACATACCTGTCTAAGAGGAAGAGGGCCAATTCAGGACCGGTTTTGAATCCTTTCAAATCTCACAATTTTCTCAATCTGTTGAATGACAAGGTTGACTCATGCTTTCTCTATCACTGTCCCTTTTTCCTGCCCCAGTATCAGCCTTAACCATGTCAAAATGAAATTCTGCACTTCTTACTGCGAAACTTTGCCTGGGAGAATTTAACATAGGCTCTTCCGGTCTGCGTGGCGCACGCCGTAAATAGTTTTGTTTGATTTCACAGGGAATCAGACCCCATGTCTATAGAATACCTATAGAAAAATAGCCAATCTTTGTGATGATGGTCTCATTTGCTTATGCAGGTTATATAAAGGCATCAGTATTAACTCGAGACTGTTTCATAACCTGTTAAAAACTCCTTGTAGCTGCTTTAAACGCAAAGAAATGAAAGGTCTAATTTTGGATAAAGCTTGTGACTCACATTGGGAATTATTTGATTTTTAGAGCAAAGAAAAGTGAGTACAGTCTGATCTAATTTATGGGGTTAATGCTTGTCATAGTACATTATTTACTGTACATGAAGAATTTTATTGAGCTTTTATCTTTGGGAAAGATTGTTTAACGCTTAGAACAATCGACTGAAATGTCCAGCATTAAAGGAGCAACATAAATACAGTTTATGCAGAGGTTTTGTTGGAATATTACATTGCATGTGAGGAAACAGCAACAAACCCACAAAAGTCCTCAGAGAGATGGATGCAGATGGGGTGAAGATTAGCAGTATATTTACAGCATACATTTACGTGGATACTGCTTTTTACGTAGTATGCAGAAGTACTTTAAAGAATGTATCTCCAACATTAGATATTGGGCATTGGTTCAATTGATACTCCCACCCAAACATGACTGTTGGTATGAAAGGCACACTCACTGTTCAACATCAGCGTTATGTATTTTCTTGTAATTACTGAACTGCAATTTTTGAGAATATAAAGACGTGTATTTCAGTAATGAGAAATAAAATCACGTACAATTTTTTTACGTACGCCTGCATATGATGAGTTGGATTCATATATATATGGATTTTAGGGGGGGAAAAAAGTCAAATAAGAAGACAAACATTTCCTACCTAGATCAGGTGGGGCTTGCTTTGCTTTGTATCCAGACTTCTTGAGACAAGGTCTCTGGGTTTCCAGTCTATGTGACCCCACAGTAAGCTGATGCCAGCTAAGACTGGAGATGCATTTGCGGACTTCAGCCTGTATTCCACTGAGTCTTGATGTCTGTTTGAAAGTGCAGCAGCTCCGTAGTTTGTGTGTTACATTCCACCGAGTATTGACACTTGTTCTGAATCGATACTCCAAAAGTACACAGTGATATTAACATCTATAAATAACTGAGCGTGTTGGTGTATCTGCAAATGGCACCTGCCGATAAGTTTCATGACACACATGTGTTTGAAAAGCAGGTCCTCTGGAGGGTTTATAAGGCTGGGTTCAAATTCCAGACAGAGAAGTATTGCTCAGATAGTCAGCACTCAAATTAGCCTAGAAAAAAACAGAAACCAAGAGGACTCTAACTAAAGCAAAGCCAGTGAAATTGATTCCACTACAAAAACCCAGTACAGCAAAACACTTCCATTTTGCAATGTTGGCCTTAATTCAATCCATGACCTTTAAATATTTCATAGACAAATACGTATATGAATAAATGATAAATTGCCAGCCTCCACTACCAAGGCACCTGGAAACAGGGCTTCTTCAAGGTATCTGGATATATCTAAGAGTAAGTGAATTCTAAAGGTATAATAGTAAAAGAACTATAGTGATCTTATAATAAATTTGAAATACAATGCCATACAAATATCACAGAAAACTATAAACTATATATTTATATATATTATTTAAAGAAATATTGTAGTCTAGTAATATTTAAGATAGATAAAAATACCATCAAGTGCAATATGGTGACCAAAAACTCACTACTAAGTACCACAGACACACTAGAAGTCCCTATATAAAGATTACAGGAATATATTATTAGGATTTTTATCTTCAGTTAATCTGATTTATCAACTACAACACCTTAAACTATCAAGAAAATGTAACCATTACACAAAGGTAAACTCGTGTAAGTGGCCTTTAAGTGGGAGGATGTCCTTCCAAAGGGTCCTGAACAGGTAAATTAGCAACTGCAGGACTTTACTTCTCCAAAGTGCTGAATTTACCTTTAAGGTGACCCAAAAGTGCCACGTTGAAAAGTGTACAGGATGACAGCTATTAAGTAGGCCACTGTTCGTTATCTGGCATTTTCAGACTAATTAGTGAGAGGTAAAACGACAGAAAAACAAACACTCCCAAAGCCAGCTGAGTGTTATAATTTCACACTGAGGCACTGTTCATCTTCCCCCCGCCTCCCCCTGGCAACAGCAGGCTGCTTCTTGAGCACCGGTAGCAGCGGCTGTTCCGCGGCGGGCAGTCCGGCTGAGAGTTCCTCCTCCCCGGCCTCTCCTTGTCCTCTCTCCCCGGTGCCCTCCGCCCCGACCCTGCACTCGCAATTCCGATGACCGACGGAAGATCCGCTGAGGCCAATTTCTCTCATCTTTTAGATGGGAATGTTTCTGCGATGGTTTCCTTAGTGGGTGTCCGCCTTGTGCATGTTAAAAATGAACTTGTAAAGGGTGGATGGGAGAACGGTAAACGCGTTTCTGCTTTGGACTCAAGAGGAAACTGGTGTTTCATTGCAATCAAACGCTAGGTATGTACGCAGAGGGAAAAGCGCTGCGTGTATGAATGTGCATTCATGTCTGTGCACGTGCATGTGAGCGTGCGTATCCATGCCCATGTGTGCGTGAAGGAGCGGTGCGGTGCGCAATGGGTCCGCCTCTCTGTATGTGCGCCAACATAAAGGCGAAGAAGACGCGCTCCGCTCTATACTGCGCCTTTTTGTCCTGACCGGACCGTTCCAACGGGGCAGCCAGAGAGCAAGCAGGAGAAATTAAAACGGAAGCTTTAATTTCCAATGCAGGCGGAAATATGTGGACAAGCACCAAAACCACAGATCGTTGTGGGAAGAGAAAAAACGAAGTGAGCCGGTGGAGTGGCCAAGAAGCAAGTAAACGCCACAGAATAAAGTAGTCTAAAAACTGCAATGCCTAAAAACTGAACGTGTGCCAGTAGCTGACAGGCAGCACAAGAAAAAAACGAGGCGATAATGGCAACTTAGTCCCTTGTCTTTCTTCCCACCAAACGGCGGTTCATCCTCAAGTAATCCGCCTGGCAAGCGATGGATGTTTTACAGTCTCCTGTCTGCTGCCTGGACGGAGATAATCCTGCACAGGTGGACAGCAGTACAGTTTAGGGAGGGAAAAAGCAGTACTCCGATCCCCTGCGCTTCAATCTCTCTCTCTTTCCAGTAGTGTGTAAGAGAGAACGAGAGAGAGGAAGAGAGAGAGAGAGATGTTTAGAAGGGGTGGGGCTGGCTGGATCCCTACTGGGACGTGGAGAGATTTTAAGCCCTGCAAGAAGCCCTCTTCACTTTTTCTCCTCTGTCCGCTCACCCTCTCCATTTTCCCTTTGCCTCTCACCCCTTTCTGTTTACCTTTCACCTTCTACTGACACGCACATGTGCACACATAGCACAGTGTGAAGTTTAGAGCCAGGGGCAAATGTGTGGGAAGCATGCAAGCATGTTATTACTCAATCTACACACATCAACAAACCCAAAATGTACCACCTGCCCATGTCACTGCTACATATACACGCACACCCATAGGCAAATCATGACCAATTAAAATAAAAACAATTGAAAGATATTTTCTATACTCAAGCCTTGCATGATCCCTACTAATTTCCCACAAGCTCACATGCTTCTCCACAGAGATATATAAATACTGCTCAGAAATCCATATAGCAACCTGACAGCCAATACATCCAATTATGTAAATCAACCAAACACTTAATTCTACATCTCAGTGTTGGCTGTATCTGACTTTGTATCAACGATGCAAGTGACATCAAGCACTTTTACATTTCAGTCTTAAGGACATCACCATTGATTGGGCTTTCAGCAATGATAAGCAATCAGCACTTCCAGAGGGGTAAAGGGTATCTTAGATCTGTTTCCATGACAACTGTGGGTTTGAAGCAACTTTTTTAACCATCGTTGTATTATGACACTGTACTGTTGCTGTACTCAGCGCACCAGAGTCCTTTATCGCTGGTAAGATATAAAGATGGATAAAAAAATAATATGACCTTCCATGCAGGTAGTGGATATCTTCATTCATGCCTTTTGCACCTTAAGATGCCCTATCTGTGTAGTTTTATATCAAAGAAGAGATTCACATGAGGCTAAAAAGAACTCTGTTTTGCAGTTACTGTAAAAAGGTGGTTAAACTGACTTTACCTCGGTTTAACCTCCACCACATCCCTGCTCATGTCATCTTCAAATAGTTTCCAAACATCAGAGACTGCAGAGACAGGGTTTAGGGATTCCAACAAACATTTCAGCTACTTTACCCCCCACGGTTTTCTTTCTCTCCTCCTCTCCCGTTGTCTTTTCCTCTCCCTCCCTCTTTCTCTCTCTCTGAAGCTCTCATTCTTTCTCTCTCCAACATAGCCTGTCTGTCTGCTCTATAATTATTTCCATGGTTACCATTAAGGATGTGAAGCTAAGCCTGATGCACTATGGTAGTAATCTTTTCCTCTCCTCCGCCTGTTCCCTCTGTCCTCTCCCTCTCATCTGTCGCTTCTTCTTCTTCTTATTCTGCATTGCTACATGAGTCTCTGCAGCATTCTCTGACAAATTCCTTTCTAGCAATTTTCAGTTGCTACATGTGCAATCTGCTTAAAACCAACATTTAATTTGGAAGATTACAGAGCTCCAGTTACTGCACAAATGCATGCCCAGGTAATCCATATGTAAGCAAGTCATACAGTCAACCTGTCCCATAAGCAATAATCATATTGTCTTACACTGCTGTAGTTGTCAGTGTGCATGGTAAGACACTGCAAGAAGCTCGTAGATCAGCAGCCAAAGGTGCAGACAAACACCCACCCTGCTGAAGTGTTCTTGAGCCAAACATAGCGTAACAAAGTGGAAGGAATTATTATGGGCATTTTCTGCACATAGACAATGTGAGGTGACTGGCAGTTGGAGCCCTTCCAAGGCTTAGATGGCCATGAATCATCAGTACAAATGATGAGCAGCTGCGCTAGAAAATAACTTGTTTTGAGATAAAAAGTCACAGACACAGCACTGTATACATAAAAAGTTTACGTGAAATATGATTATTTGCATTTTTGCAGAGAGTTAGATGAGAAAATGTATGTTACTCTAATGTCTGTACGGGAAATATGAAGCTGCAGTCACTAGGTGTTAGCTTAGCTTAGCATAAAGACTGGCTATAAATAGCTAGCCTGGCTCTGCCGAACAAGAAACTAAACTTCTAAATTTCCCCTGCTTCAGGTTTCCCCTGCTTTGCAACCAAATGAGCTCTCCTTAACCTAAACCTACACTTAAAGCAATTAAATATTACGACTATGTTCAAAGGTTCATAATCTTGTTAAAATTATTCTTTAGTATAGAATTGAGCCCTCTCAGAGCAGCAGGGTGCTGCAATCTCTTTTGTGTATTTAAATGGAAATATCAGAACATTATGAACACACCATAAGAGACAATTTGCCTTGAGGTCTCTTGCTCTTTTGTAGACATTTTTGCTCTCTGCTCCCAAAGACCAAACTTATGCTTGCTGATGTTATGACTCCCTGGTGCATGGTCAGTACACATATTAATGCCATGATGTAGTCTAATTTGTTAGACTAATTTGGTTATCTGGATATGTGTGTGTGACAGTTGTATCTGTCTATTTCTATTGTTTGTGTTTAGAGTTTATAGTCTCTTGGCAGGTCACTCTTGAAAAAGAGATTTTAATCTCAATGAGACTACCTGGTTAATTAAATATTATATATTTGCTTACTAGAAGAAAAAAAACTATGGCTGAAAAAATTCCGCAAGAAAAAGGCATACATCATTTGTTGTAGACAATCTCTCAAACAATAGTTATCTACTTACAAGCATAGCCTCACTCCAAGGAAACCAGTGCTTTCGTCACAAGTTATATGACGTATTATGGAAAGGATTTCACACAGGTCATGTCTACCAGACCTCCCCCACCTCTACCCTGTCAGTGCAAACTTGACCGAGTGCTATCAGCTCCAACTAAAGTGGAACACCGTAGAGCGGACACCAACTTGTGTCAGCCTCCATGTTTCAGATGGATAGATAACGGGAGGCTCGGGCTGACAGCAGAGGAAGGAACCCAAAGAGTTGTAACAGGAAACACACTGTGACAGCCAGACCCCTGAAGAGCTGGAGGAGAAAACGGAAAGCTGGGATGGGGCCGGGTGTTGCATTGTAAGAAGTGCCACAGAGAAAGTCTTGTATTTTGTGACGGGATGATGGATGGTTGAACAAGGACGACAGGACTAGACATGTGCATACTGCCACCTGACTGGGCCTAATGCCAAGGCAATGAGACAATTAGGTGTAGAGGATGCCAGTGTGGAACGGGCTGGCATGTGAACATGGGTATACTTTTTTCAGGCCAGTAGGGACACTCTAATCGATAAGGCAGCAATCATAGTTAGACAGTATTTTGCTGAGCAGGAAAGACCATACAGCTAAGGGCAAATAAATAAATGTCTTTCAGACAGTGTTTTCAGTGCACATTCCATCATGGCTGCCCATACTCCACCACACTTGCATCAGGGGAGCTTCTTGTTGCTGTCCAGTTTGCAGGGACATGCTGCTGGCTGCAGTCGGACCTGAGACATAGTCAGGCAGATAATATGGTTAGTATTTTAATGCCACACATTGTGCACGCTACATGCAACACACTGCTTCAAATGTCTGCAGTTATGGACCAGTTTTAGCCATCGTCAGGATCACATCAACAATAGTCACTGTTTTTCATTATTTAGCCCTGAATTTCATATTCTTCCACTGCCATTCTGCAGATTCAAATCATAGCATTTCCAAATAAAAGCCCACATTTTTAACCTTTAAAATACTGCCACCTGCCAATGGTGCACTGACCACCCACACAATCACATCTCTGCAGCTCTTGTTTTCTGCAATCCGGTTATTGCAAAGTAATTTGTGAATCATCAATGCCTCGCCAACTACTGCTGTGCCAGGAGATGTGGAAGGATTTGAAGAGTTGACTATCAAATCGAACAATACCGAGTTGATCCTCAGGTACGTCCTAGTGGGAAGTAATATTTCCAAGTTATCATGGAGAAAACAAGTTCCTAAAGGAAGTGATATAATTCTACTTGACATAGAGGGTTGTGTAGACATCATCAGTTTAAATGTTATTTGCTGCTTTCACAATAAACCTTAAGACTTGTATGTTTCTGTCAGTAAAGTCATACTTGATGCATGCTTGACTGGCTGTTCTAGCCATCTTTCTTTTTTCTGTAATGATAATGTGTTAACAAGTTCATGGAGGCCATAAGGGTGTATTTTGAGAAAAGCGAGTCAAACTTGACCATGTCCTGAGCGCAACCAAGCTCTTACTTATGGCCACTTAGCTAAGTTGAGGATTAATAGGAAGACTATTAGATTAATTGGTTTCTTCAATATATCAAGCTCATTTCTAGCTCTATAGGCTATTTTTATTCTGGGATTCCACTAGAGTAGCTTTGCATGATTCACAGTTTAAAATCCCTTTTTATCTTATATTGGCCTTTTGTGCAGCCTCTCAGTTATTCCTCTGTCTGAAGCAATCCATTTTAGCTCCTGTCTCTTTGAGGCCCACCTTTCTAAAAGCCCACTGTCCTAGGATTGGCCAACTTTCTGGAAGCCTGCCGAGGGGCTTGTGAGCCGCTATAACCATAGACTGTATAAAACATAGACATAGTGTCAATGACATCAACCAAAGGTTTCTGAAGAGCCGTTATGAAGCTCACTGTGGGTGGGTCCAGCCGTCGCCATCTTGGCAGTGCCTGACTTTGGCTAAACCAAAAATGGCTGAATGAAGCTTGGTTGCTAAACCACCTACCCACTCGAGAGGGCACTGACCAGTCACTCAAAGTGGTCTTAATATAATTTAAATAGGTGAGTTAAATAAAAATTCACCCCTCACATAGCTGTCATGATGGGGGAAATTAGCTATAAAGACCAAAACAAAGGTTATGATCTGATTCAGCCAGACCCAAACACCCAGACTGTCCTGATCCCTCACAGGGATGTCTGGCACAGTCAGTGTGAAAAGTCCTTCCTGGCAACCGGTAGCCTATGGTAGACAACAGACTCTCTCTTCACAGATCCTGGGTCATACCAGCGAGCACGGATCCTGAGAAGGAGGCCGACACATCCAAGGTCCCTTCAGCAAGTGTTCCTCTTCTGCCACCACACACATACACGCTATGCCTACACATGCGTACTGATGACCCAGAGTTAGGGTTACAATTTTGGATTTATTCACGCACTTTAAAAACATTTATTGAAAGTTTTTTTCTTTTTACACA